GTGATCTATTAGTGTTTTCGCCTCTGGATTTAAGAGTTTTGTTTTCTTTTTCCAGTTTCTTTATAGTTTTTGACATCTATAAACAACAAGAAATACATTAGACTCTATAACTGATATTTAGTGCATTTACAGTATATCCCTATCAAGATCTTTCCCAACTCCTGTAAAAATGGCCGCTACACTGTTATTTTCAGGGATTTGATATAACTCTGTCAAGGGAGTTATATTTACTCCACCCAGTGGAGTAACTTTACAGGGAGTTTCTTGAGTTTGAGTTGTTCGTTTCATAAAATCTACTTTGTAATGAAAGTAAAGTTAACTCCACTAGGGGTAATTTTAACTCCACTATAGATAATTTTAACTCCACCTGAAGATACCTAAGTAGAATAAGTGGAGTTAAAGTTACTCCTAGAAAGGAGTCATCCTGTACCTTTTATTAACCCCACTTTTGGAGTTATATCAACTCCCTGAAAATAACAGTGTAAACAAGTGTAAACAAGGAGAAAAGGAAGAAAGAACTGCTTTCCCATTTTTCCTCACAAAGTGTCAATTAACTCTATGTCTAATCAAACATAATCAAATAAAAAGTATTTTATCTACCTTGTCCATTTCTGACTTGAATGTTGCAAAAACTTCATTGCTTTTATTGAGAGTTGCTTGGAAATCATCAAACCGCTCAGTGTACATGGCCAGCTAAAATAAAAAAATAAAAAATAAAAAAACATGAATATTATGAATATCACAGTATTCAGTTTTAATTTTACAGATTGAATTAGAAGATTTGGGGAGCCATGAGACAATATGCGTGGTAAGGGTATGTTTCCATGGTGACTATATGTGAATTTAACAATTCGCAGGCGGTTTTCCATTGTCTGTACTCTTATTGACAATGAAATTGACGTCAAAATGCTCAAAACTCAAGTGGAACCACGAGCGTAAGCGAGTGGTTTCAATGCAAAGTTTTGAGCATTTTTGACGTCAATTTCATTGTCAATAAGAGTACAGACAATGGAAAACCGCCTGCGAATTGTTTTTTACCATAAAAAAGCTGAAAACAAAGTAAAACTTTAAAAACAAAACCGTTTCTAGCGCGCGCCGGCTCCGTGCGCGAGCGATTCGTCATTTCATCCGTCTGTCCTAGGATTGACAACAGCCCTCAACCAATCAGCGAGCGGGAATTCTACAAGTTATGGTAAAAATAGCTCTGCAAAATGCTCTAAATACATTGCATCTAGATCTTTTCTGAAATACAATGTCATGCATTGTGGTCTAGCTTCAGAATGAACAACAAAATATTTGGCAGCATTGAACAAAAGACATTTGAACCGAATCTAGAGCACAAAGCAATGCAAACAGGCCTATTATTTTCAATTACCTGTGATTTCAGCTCTGCTTCTTGTTTGACCATAATTTCATATCTTTTTCTGTAGTCCAGAGAGTCTTTTAAAAGCTATAATATAAGAATGTTTTTGTAAACAGCTTTTAACTATATTTTTTTAACATATATGATGGGATATGATGACAGTTCAGGGCTCCAAATAATGTTCAGTCAAAGGACAATGTCCTTCCAAATTTTCTCGACGACCGGCCAAATTGGCGTTTTAAGGACAAATTAGCCTGTCACATTTTTAGACAAGTAAAAAAACAATGAATTCCCGATTCGGTAAATAACTATTTTATAATCCATTAAAATGCTTGCCTATCTTTCTGAATACAAAAATCTATAAATAAAGTTCCTTTCAAAATTCAACATGACCTTCCAAAAATGAATTTGGAAGGACATCTTGTCCTGCATATATCTGGCCGTTATTTCGAGCCCTGCATTTAGAATAATCTAAGACACACATCACTTTATATTATCAATTTTACATTTAAAGAACCTTAAGCTGTTTTTACTGCGAATGTAAATTGAACAAAAAGAAAATGTTCTCATTACCTCTTGTTTTTCTATCAATGATTTTTCTTTCATTTCGTTAAACTGTAGATTTTGTTGTGCCATCTTGGCCTCAGCAAGCTGTAACTCTAGTTGTTTGTGTTTGACTACTTTGTCAACATGCTGCAAAAATTAATAACAACAATAGTGGAACACAAAAATAATACTAATTTAGTGAATGACAAAGGCATTTCAAGGTTTTTTTGAAAAACACTTTGTTCACTCTTGAATTGACTGAAAGGCTTACTAGTAACATTCTATTGTATATAAAATGTAAAAAAAAAATATTGGATCTTTTTCATCCTACAAAGCCAACAAGCACCAGTATAAGATACCAAATATCATTTGATATTATTTCACCCAAATGCAAAGTCAAGATATTACATTAATTTTGCTGGACTTGCACTTCAATTGACTTTGCAAATATCAACTGACGTTAGCAGTARCCAAYGAGCAACCCTACAATTGTAGCCATCACCTCTCCAAGGAAAAGTTTGACAAACAAGAATTTTGTAGATTAGASAGAAGCTCGTACCTCTTCCCTGGTCTCATACTGTGATACAAGTCCTTTTAGCTTAGTAGCAAGTCTAWAAGATAAATAAAACAATGAATTAATAAAATTAAAATAAGTATTACTACAAATGATAGGG